ATTTCGGTAAGTTTACTGTAAATTGTAATAATTAATAAATTGTATGTTTATAGTATATTATAAAAATAAAAGAGTTTCTTGGTTTTCAAGAATGAGATAAAAGGGGAAAAAATAAGAGTAAAAGAATGTAAACTATTGATTTTCCTCTGTGTGTCTTTATTATTATTATTATTAATTTTATATTTTTTCTTGATTCTGTCTTTTCGTTAAAAGTAAAGATCTCATTTAACAGATTTTTGGACTTGGACCAATTTTGTCTTCAAATTTTTTATTCTTTGTCAACTATGTCCTTATTTAAACTTCCATGTACACTTACAAATAAAAACATTATTAAGTTATTTCTTTAAAGATGCCCTTATACATTAATTCATAATTAAATTTAGGTAGATCCTACTATTTTTTTCCAAAAACTAATGATTTAATCTAATTCATTTGATAGCAATTATTCGCATCCCCTTTCAATTAATAAAAAATAATTTTAATACTAAAATTAATTATAGTTAGCACCTGTTGTAAATAATATGATTATTATTGAATAACAATTATACCCTACAATCCTAGTTTTTATTACTATTGTATCCTTAATTCTTCTTTATTATTCACTTCTTTATTTTATTTTCATTTTCTTTCTAATTTATAACATGTTATCAGCACGATTATTTTGTAATCAAAAAGTGAATTAATTAGAATGTAATAAATTTTTGTTTATCAAATGTACCAAAATCAATTTGGTGACGTGTGATTTTTAATCAATTCACGCATCCAATTCATGTCTTTTGATGTGTGGAATTCGCACCTTTAACTTCTATGTATGTGGAATTCATTTTGAAGTTATTCAAGCATTTAAATTCTGGATAAATGGAATTCACGTGTTTTGTATCTTTTACATGTTAGTAAAAGATTTAGCCAATAAAAGATTTTGATAATTTTGTTAACTTTTACATGTGAAAATATTTTTTTCTAATGCATGTTTAATAATTAATTTTTATTTATAAATTATTATCCTATCTATTTGGTAATTAGTTTTTATATCACATCATATATGTATATTAATTAATATTTTTAACCCGATTAAATATTTTAAGATGTTCCTCTATAAAATTTAAATTGATAATCCATCAAGTTGTTGTCCCCAAGTAGCACAACATTATAATTAATATTTCAAAAAAATATTAGTTGCTCCAAAAGAGCATGAATTATAGTTTCTAATATTCCAAAAGAATATTGATATATTGTTCTTGAAGAAGTAATAATGAATATAAAGTGCTCTCAAACTGGCACGTTGTAATTTTCATTAAAATGCTACTTAGATTTTACATGCTCTTTAAGAGAATAATAATATAAAATCTAATATAAATTATGTACTTACTGTTAAATGGTAAATTCTTACATAATTTATTACTCTAAACTATAATATATTATTACTTATGAAGAGCATGATATTATTGTTATTCTAAAATGAAATACGATTTAGATATTTAAATATTCTAGAAGAGTATTGTGGAATTTCTTGAATCAATTAATAGGAATCACTATTTTAGAAGAATATTGTGTTACTTTGAAAGAAGCACAATTTTATATTTAATAATATTCTTGAAAAATATTATGTTGTTATTTTTTAATAATCACAATTTAAATATTTCAATAAATAATGTATTAGTCCTAAAGAACAGAAATTTTAATTAATTTGTTTCTAAAGAAGTAATAGTTTATTTATATTAATATTCTTAAAGAATAGTTTAGAGACTCTAGAAGAGTGTGATATTTGAGAGGATAAACTTACTATTACTAGTAATTTGTTCTTCACTAAATAAAAGAGAAACCTACAAAATTTATAATAGAGTTTTCTTTTTTAATTGATTAACTATACTAAATACTAGTGACCATTTTGATAAATATGTATTGAACCAGAA